TGACTTTTTTACTCATTCACAGGAACTGATAAGAAATCAGACTTTTTACATTTAAGAGTGAAATGATGTAACAGAATACTTCATTATGAATTAACATGACTTATACCCTGCTTTTAAAACCATGTAGGAGCCATTACTGGTGAATGCCCAAGATTGACTCATTATTTGTTTTCTAATTATTCAAATAATTCTACACTCAAACATCACTACCATATGGATTGCACAGGATAATAAATGAAATTCAGTGTTCCTATTGTTCTAAGATGTACTCAGGGAAAAGCTTTTAAGAGTCAGTTCTTTAAGCTTGCACAAATAAAATGGCTCTTTGTTCCCACCCAAGTATTCTTCTAACAGCCAAAATCACCTGGACCCTTAAGAAGGATCAAATTTAGCAACTGAAGTAAACTACTGTTTGTAAAACATTCAGTCTACTTGGCTTATATATTCTTCATACAAGTTTAATATAGACACTGATGAGATGCAACAGTTTCTTAACAGAAACAGCTTATTTGAATATTTATTTTTTTCTATAATCTTTCACACTTTTCTATTAACACATTTTCTTACATGGACATCATAATTAAAATAAGAGAAATTTCTAACTTATAATGACTGAGCTCTAACAAAAAAATATTTAGGGAAAAAATACTTTAGCGGTACCCATAAATATCAAACCATAATTCTAAAGAACAATTATGTTCAAAATACAAGTGGGAAGTATAATGTAATTATTTATTCTGTATCTAGGTTTTCAATTAAACTGGGACTCAATAACTGTAATATAACAACTTGTTTCATACCCTGTTGAATTATGTTACCACTTTATTTTTAAAGGCCATGTACATAAATTAGCCTTACCAATCTCATACCAATGTAGTTATGTTCACCATATTTATCTCCTGGTTTATTAAATGGAAAAGTTCCATTATAACCAGTTAGCTTTCCAGACATTCCTATAAGAATCTAGAAAAACAAAAACTCTATAAATAAACTGTTACATGAAACAAAAATATAAAAACATTAAAATATCATGCTCAATATTTGGAAAAAAATATCTTTTTTATTATTCCTTTGTAATTTTATTAATCAACTGTTTGAGATATTTGTTCTTTAAATAATTCTTCACTACATCTATTCACATCCACTACCAACACTAATAACATGATCTTGAGCTGCTTTTTAATCTACAATAATGTGACAGTTATTACATGAGGATATTAAAATATTTTATCTTTCATCTTTTAATAACTCTTAAGTCAACCAATATACTTTATTTTTTAGGATTTCAGTTCTTTCAGAGTGTACTCATTTGGATCTAATCACTTCCACTGACAATATCAATTAGTATATCATCTACAAATTGCATCTTTTAAGTTTTTCTGTTCATATTTTGGATTACTTCTTGATTTTTACACTTAGCTTCATTATTCTCCTTCTTCCTCATCCAAATGGCTATCTACCATTTGACACAAACACTTCATACCATACTCTCTTTAATTCATTTACAATAATTTAAAGACAAGAGTATATCAATTTTAATACAATTAATTAAATCAGTTATCAAAGGATTTCTTCTTATTTAGATTATTTTTATTTCAATCTTTTTAAAACTTGTACTAAAACTTTAAAGTACATTAATATTTTAAAAATAGGGAATTTAGTGCTTCTTTTGTATGGATTACTACCACAGTACAAAATATGTAAATTATGTAGAAGTATGTAACAGTATTTTGTGTATCATACCAATAAAAATCAAGTGTAAATGGTAAAACTGTTCTTCACATATTTTTCAATGTTAAAGAAAACACTTTTACTTACTGGTTGAAATTACCTATAAAATAATTAATTTTTAAAATCTCACAACCATACAGCATTAATCACTACTATCCACATGAGGAATGTTAACATAAACCTTATAGCATTTATAAGCAATGACAAAGTGGTTTGCCAAGTAAAGGAATTGGTTTGTTAGTCAGCATAAATGTAGCTTATGCTGTGTGTTACCAACATACTTTCTGAAGGTAAAAAATCAAATGCGTAACTTACCAACTAATAAATTAGTTTGTGCAAAACTGTTTATTTCAAACCTTCCCACAGTTTTAAAGTAAACTGAAAGAAGGCAATATTTATTTCTTTGCTTAGAGACTTGAATAACTAGGTCAAGCCTCGACCAGTAACAGGAACTTCCCGTGAAAATTCCTTCATAGCATCACTGCTTTGACCAGCATTGAACAACTGACTCAGAATTGGTAAGGATCAGATGATCCACAACAAGATTGAGAGCACCCAGGATATGACAAGCCAGCAAACGAATTTGATAGCTGTGAGCCCAGAAGCAGAGATCTAATGTGTTAAAACACAAGGACCTAGACCGAGTACCCCTTGCCAAGTGATACAAGAGATATAACAGACAATCGTCGAGCTGTTGGAATGAATCATTACTATCGTGTCCCTCAGGGCTGACAGAAATTGAACCATCTTTCAACGTACAGCAAGGTGCTCTAAAAGACTGATATGAAGACCGGATTCTCCTTGAGAGCAATGGCCTGATATCTCCTTGGCATAGCAGTATGCTCTCCAGCCCAATAGTGAAATATCTGTAAAGGGAGGAAGAAGAGGTACACCCACTATCGTGTTGTCTCTGTCCAACCACCAGGCAAAAACTATATGGAGGAATGAGGAAGGGAAACTGAGAAATCCAGAAGGCCACTTTTGATGTTCCACTGATCCTATAGTACTGTTACGTATTACAATTTCTAATAGCCTAAAACTGATTTAGATTTAGTAGTTAAATAAATGCTGATATATGTCCTAATTTATGATTATTTGCCAACAAGATTGATACACACTAGTTTTCTTTGTTTTATACAAATATGTTTTAATATACACACAATAATACAATTTACAATAATGGTTATTCCAAATAGTTATTACAAACAATGATTTATATACAAAAGTTTCACAAACTTACAGGAAATATAGTCTTCTTTCTAGTCTGGAACTTCCTTGATATCTTATCGAGGGTTGACAATGAGTGAGTTAATTTCACGTTGACATAGGTACAATTCACTACACAGGGAGCTAGCTAGCTCTGTGGTCTTCACTGATCACATGCTGATTTTTCCTACCAGTAATGTTAGGAATTGTTTTCGTAAAAGTACTAATGTCTGATGTGAATCCACTGAAGTTGAATGATTTGTAACGTTCGAAATTTATAAACGTTTCTGATCAATATATCTGAAGTTCCTGATTAATAAACATTAATCACAGTTATAGCTTAAGAAGTTTATAGCACACCAATCACAGCAACC